ATCAAAGTATTTTGATTTTCAATAATAAATGGGTAAGTTTAATTTTCACCAAAATTAAATCGTATAGTAATGAAATTAACTTAAACAGTTCATCCTGTTTTGTTTTCAGTTTCACTAAAGCAAATTGAACACATAGATTAAAAGATTACTATAGTTTCTATACAGAATAATATGAAAGTGATATGATACAAAATTATAACAGCTTTTTGCATAATTCCTTAATCTTTCAGTCCTTTGTTTAACTTTTACGAATTGCTTTCAGATATGTTTAGAAGGTTGTGATATTTTTTACTATAATATTTTTGAAAACCAAAATATAGACAGGATAATTACAACGAAAGGTTTATTGTTTTCACCTTCTAGGTACTTTTTATCCTTCAACATTCAAAAAAAGCTTTTGCAAAAAAAAAAAACATACAAAAAAAGATCAACAAAAAATAGATACAAAATTAGACATCCAGACTTCCTAAAAACATGGGTCAAAGTCAAACAACCTAAAAACGAGAGGTAATGAGAAAAATTCGACTTTAACATATCTCCACCCAACACACTATATAAATGTAAACATGAGTTGAATCAAATTCAGAAAACAAAATATTGAATAATAAATAGTAATATTAGTAGTAATTTTTTTTTTTTAAAACAATGGGTGCATATTTTGGAGTTTCCACAATATTTGTTTTCTGTTTGTTGGGAATATCAGCCAATGCTACGGTATTCACCATTGGTTCTTCTTCAAGTTCTGATATTACTCAGGTTAGTTCTTCTGCTTTTCCATTTCTTGCTATTCAAGCAATCTACAGAACAAGATTTTTCCCTTAGGGTTTCAGTGCACCAATATATACATATATGCAGGCACTTCGGAAAGCCTTTACATCGGCATGCCAATCTCCATACCCGACCAAAGTAGTGATCCCAAAAGGAGAATTCAAGCTTGGTATGATCGAGCTTAGAGGTCCATGCAAAGCTCCCATCGAGATCACCCTTCAAGGTACAGTCCATGCTGACGGTAACACCAACCATGGAGAAGAAAAATGGGTCGTCTTCGGAAACATCAATGGGTTTAAGTTGAACGGAGGTGGAGCCTTCGACGGTGAAGGAAACGCAGCTTGGAGAGTCAATAACTGCCACAAGACCTTCAACTGCAAGAAACTTCCAATCGTATGTGTGCTCTTCTCTTTAATAGCCTTTGAGAGGAGTTTTGTATATTTTTACCAAGTTTTAAGTAATGTTATTTGTGTTGTTTGTGCAGAGTATAAGGTTTGATTTCGTGGAGAACGCTGAGATTAGAGACATTTCCTCTATTGATGCCAAGAACTTCCACATTAACGTTCTTGGAGCCAAGAACATGACCATGACTAACATCAAGATCATCGCTCCTGAAGAGAGTCCCAACACTGACGGTATCCATTTGGGAAGAAGTGACGGAGTCAAGATCCTAAACTCCTTCATCTCCACCGGAGATGACTGTATCTCCGTTGGAGATGGGATGAAGAACCTTCACGTGGAGGGAGTTACTTGCGGTCCAGGACACGGAATCAGTGTCGGAAGCCTTGGAAGGTACGGACACGAGCAAGATGTTAGTGGCATTATGGTCAAGAACTGCACTCTCCAAAACACCGACAACGGTCTTAGGATCAAGACATGGCCATCTGCTGCTTGCTCCACCACCGCCTCCGATATTCATTTCGAAGATATCATTCTCAAGGACGTTAGCAACCCAATCCTCATCGACCAAGAGTACTGCCCTTGGAACCAATGCAACAAGCAAGTACGTATCTTCATCATTTGTTTTCATCAGATTCAACATTTTGACGATTCTGATTTGTCGAATGGTTGTGTTTTGTGATTTGTAGAAAGCATCAACGATTAAGTTGGTGAACATAAGCTTCAAGAGGATCAGAGGAACATCAGGAAACAAGGATGCAGTGAAGCTATTGTGTAGCAGGGGATATCCATGCCAGCAGGTGGAGATTGGAGACATTGATATTAGGTACAATGGAGCTGATGGTCCAGCCACTTTCCAGTGCTCAAACGTGAGTCCCAAACTCATGGGAAATCAGATCCCTAGAGCTTGTGGCAGTCCAGTGACCAAGACAAACTAATATGTAGAAGCTCAAAACTATTAAGCACCCATTATTCAATATTTCTATACACAAACTATGGTCTATGGTGTATGCTCTCAATCTATCTAAATACTAAAATGAATGCATCCATTAAGCCCTTTTTTGACAAAAAAAAGAATATAAGTCTCCCTTTCATTTGCTCGGTTCAAGCCATAGAGTTTCATATACGGCAACAACATAAATCTTTACATTTTTCCC